ACTGCCTCCCATAGATGATCTACAAAATGTACATCTCATGGTCCCCACATTGCACCGTCCCAATCTGCATCTTCTCTTCTTTCCCTCCGTCACTTGATCACTATTCAAAATCTCGATCCTCAAATCTCGATTGCAAGAATATCCACTTACCCAATGCAGCAACTTCCATTCCACCGTTGATTGCGGCAGAATCAGGATTTTGTAAGCCTACTCGGAGTATGTCTCTTTTCATACAGCGGTTCGGTCAAATGCACCGACCTTGGTACACCCATCCGGTCCGTCTGCGTTAGGCAACCTCGCTCTTATGCGTGGATTCCAGCCGGCGACATCGGCGATCTCTGGATTGAGGACAATGGGTGCGATCTGAAGCATCTGTGAGAGATCGGAGGAAGGCACTGCTTACACATACTCGCGTAATCCGACGTGCGAGCGTGAAAGGGCCGTTCACGACGGTAATAGTCTTATCCACACGCAAAACCACACCATCGGGTACAAGCATAACCCATCCGCAACACCAAGCGCACCGAGGACAACGTCATAACGGCCCCATCTGTTACTCCAAGAGGCAACAAAACGCAAAAACCATGGATTCCAGTCGCTCTTCTTCGGACTTATTATTCTCACCAAGACGCACTGATGCCCCTTGACCATTTGCCATTTCCGCTTTATTCCCACAAAAACCCGCGTCTGTGCCGCCTTTTGTTTGGACCGGGGAACACGGCCATGCTCGGCAAGGCATCGGCATTCCCATAATTTTCGCAGCAAAGTGGGGCGTCTGCTCTTACCCGAACACCCTACCCTATCCTCCTCTCGGATCGCTCCCTTGGTTTCAACGTTGGCTTGGCGTCTTCGCCACAATCGTTCCCTTTGTTGCCACTTCACCTCCACGGTCTCCACCTGCCACCCTTTTCGGTCAAATCTGCTATAAGGCTGCCTGCATGGGGAAGGAAAGGCCAAAAAGTGTTGATTCTAGTCGGTCAATTGCGGTGCTTCTCGGGGGCATTAAGTGAATCCTTCGGTGAGTTAAGGTGATGGGTGGATGGAGAGAGGGGTTTGGGGGGCGAATGGGCGCGAGACGTGTGGGTTTGCGTGAAGAGATTTGTCGAGGATGGGAGAGGCAAAGGTAAAGTATCTGCTTTCTTTTCTTCTTTTCTTTGGGTGGGATTGGGATGTTGGTTCATCGGTAATGTCTGCATATGCGTATGCGGCTTGACCCTTCTCTTCCCGTCCAGAACTGCTCTCTTCGCCTTCCTGTACCACGTCTTTGCACCGAAGACCTGCGACTCCCGGTTCAAACGGCTATCATAGCGGGCCCTTTCCGATATGCACTATGCATTACCCTGTTCGGAGTGTCTCGCGTACATCTCTGTGTCAGAGCCCCGTTTCCTCCATGCCAAACTCGGTTCGCCATATCATCCATCATCATCAGTACCGAATTCTCAGATTCCCATCCCGAATTCCCCCAAAGAGGTAACTTCTGATACCCCACCGTAGAACACAGTCGCACTTCACACTTTTTGTCGCATTCCTTCGCACTTCCTCGCACTTTTTATCGCACTCCTTCGCACTTCTTCCGAGGTTCGCACTTTCTCCCTAATCTAGCACTACCCCTGCCTCCGCGGAAGCAAACCTCATACGATATTTGGTTGTTGTATTGGAACACCGCGCTACTCCTATGTTCTAGATCTGTTTTGCTACCATGTTGGGAAAGAGAAGAAGAGTGTTGATTGTAGCCAAGACTGCGGGCCGTGACGGGTATGCAAGGGGATGGTTCTGCATTAGGGGGTCGTTGGTACAGAAGGTTAGTGTGCTAAAGCACGAGAAGTACGTGTTGTCTCAATATGGGGAGCACCCTATTCGGAGGAGGAAAGGCGAGATTTTTCTTCTAACCGAGACGTCTACATCACCTCCGTATTTTACAAACTCAGGTCCTCAGAGCAATGTAGACTTCAGAGCACCTGTTCGTTTTGTTTCCCAGTATAAGGTACAAGTTCCCCCTGGTCTAACAACTCCTCACCTCCATGGAAGCGATACCTTGTCCGATATGTAATCGTCCTATCGGAACACTCTGTCATCGTCGCTGAGCTTCTCCTCCGGAACCTCGATATCCTCAGTCTCCAATGTGAAGACTACCACCTCATACTTTGCCGGGCATGCTTGGTTGTCCTCAGCTACTAGCGCCTTACAACGCTGTTTGCGGTGACTGAGCCCAAAACGCTGGTTGATCTCTTCCAGGAAGCCCTCCAAGCTATAGCTACGAAACGATTCGATCTCAATCGCTGTAAGCGCGCCCAAAGGTCGACCTTCAGTCCACCGCACGTACGCAAGCCCTAGTGTTGGTTCGCGCGCTTCAGCATCCGAGTCGTCTGATGAAGGCGCCGGATTACGTGCAGTAGTCGCCTTTGGGTTCGTCTTTGGTGATCTCGTGGATTTCGATCTCGTGAGTGCTGTTGCCCGCTCCCATTTCGCAAACAGGATGTAGTGGTAAGCTGTCCGGAATACGGTTTCCACGTCTTCTCTTCCCCAATAGTAGAAACACCCCTTGCGGTCACCAGTGTTCTCCACGACAATTCTGTGTAACAACCACGAATACCAGTCCGTCTTGTTGTGGTATCTCGGAAAATGCGTCTGCCCAAGGGATCCTATGCGGCCGCGCCACTCATCGTCCCGGATGCGTGCATAGAGATCGTCAAAGTTGGGAACGCTATTATCAGGCTTGTAGAGATCTGTCTTCAGAAACTTGCTGACGAAGACTTCCCACCACGGTTTGACGAGCGATGAGTCTCGCCACTTGTCAAAAGCGGCGTCAGTGTAGGAGTATCCGAGAGAGGCGGCGATCTGGCCTCTGTCTTCATACGGCTTGGGCGCGGAGCGCTTTCGCTGTTTCAAGGCACGGGTGGAGGGGCCTCGCGCCATTGTAGCTAGTCGTAGCTATGAGTATATCGGGAGGAAAGAGTCTGGCTACTGTCTGAGTTGGGCGCGGCGCCTTGTAACGTGTGAGTATGAAATTACCTGGGTCCCTGCCGAAGCGAACGAAGACCCGCGCACTCACCTTCAGCCATCCACGTCAACCTAGGAAAATACTAGACACCCTGGAGGCTACATTGACGCTAGCTTACCTACTTTGAAGGGTTCCAAGGTTTCATATTAATGTAGTCTGCAAACCTGTTTATTTCTATGCTTGTGTGAGGTGCGTTCGAGGGCTACAAAAGCGTCAAGTGAACTATCTGAACTAGGTGATATTCAGCATACTAATGGACTTTGAATCCAAGGGTTTCTACATTGTACGTTCGGAGAGCGCTCGTGGTGAAATCCGATACCCACTAATATTGGTGACTTAGACGGTACTGCTACCATTCCAGCTTTGAGAGACGTTGTTATTCTCGAACAGCTTACTATCAACTTATCAAATGCGGGGTATCGTGTGCGCACATGAGATGCAGTTACCTTCGTGCGCAGTGGACCCAATTCTGTCTAGCGCTAGCGCAGCCGCGGGTGGCGATCTCTTTAGTCAGCCACTTGAGCAGCCCTACGAGTCTTGCGCATTCACGCCAATCTTCAATCACCATACGACCTTCCGCCCCGCGCATCGCGGCTACCTATACGAAACCCACACGATTACACGGGACTATCCTCGACATCCGCTGTGATTTCACACTGTATACGCGACGACCGTCCTCGTAACCGCATTACCCTCTACGCCAAATCACCGTCGACACCGCCACAACCACAACCACAACCACAACCATGGGTAAGGCTGAAGCGGGTAGTACAAAATGGGTGGCCAACAAGATGAAGTCGAAGGGCTTGCAGCGCTTGCGCTGGTGGTGTGAGCCGTGCCAGAAGCAATGTCGCGACGCCAACGGCTTCAAATGCCACGTACAGAGCGAGGGCCATGTCCGAAACTTGCAAGTCGTCGGCGAGGACCCTAAAAAGTACATTCAAGGCTTCAGCAACGAATTCCAAAGGGATTTTGTCAATCTTCTGCGGACAGCTCACAACGAGAAATGGATCGGTGTCAACAAGTTCTACAACGAGTATATTCGAGACAAGGAACACGTCCACATGAACGCTACTAAGTGGAGTTCACTCACCGAGTTCGCCAAACACCTGGGGCGCGAGGGCATCTGTCATGTCAAGGAAGACGAAAAGGACGGCTTGATGATCGCTTGGAGAGATACTTCCGTTGCGGCCTTGAACAGGCGCAACGAGATCGCGGAGATGGAGGCTGCTGAGGCACGAAGCGGCGCGGGCGAAGACAAGATGTTGAAGAAGATGGCGAAGCGCGCACAAGAAGAAGCCGAGGCCAAGAAGGCTATCGAGGCGAAACGAGCTGCGGCACAAGCAGCAGTGCAACAGCAGGTCACTCCGCCGGCAGAAGGAGCGTCTCCAACGGAGGAGAAGAAGGTCGAAATACCGGTCGACGAACAACCACAAGGAGAGGAGAAGACAGATGCCACCGAGGTGAAGGCGGAAGCAGCGCCTGTCAAGCTCAGTTTCGGTTTGAAAGCAAAGGCTGCACCAGCGAACAAGGCCGGACTTGGTCAGATGAAGAGCCAGAGCATCTTCAAGCGGAAGAAGGACGACGCGACAGCGGAACAAAAGCCCGTGAAGAAACTCAAGTTATGAGCGAGGGAATGACGTGATTGATTTTCAACATGCATAGCGCGGCGTTTGGGTCAACATATCATGGCAATGCAATAGAATTCCATGTGCCGAGACGGCATTCACAACATATCGACTTTTGCTGTTGCTGCTGCCATCACCGGCACTTCGCCCATGGCCCGGGAACACTACCGCGCCATTTCGCGTTCTTCTGTCTAGGGGGTGCACGCGCCATGCCATCTCAAACTTAGCGCCATTTCGGCGCGTCTACATCATCAAGACGCGTCTCTCTCCAATATATACCCACCACCTCGCCTTTTTTTCCCCTCCAAACCCAACACCTCAGTCTGCAAACTTGTCGCAAAAACCTCGCAACCTCATCTCTCACCGCAAACATGTCGCTTGTTACTCTATCGTCCCTTCCGGACCCAGTCCTCCATCTAATATCCGTATACCTCGCGCCCGATCGGCCCAGTGTCAATGACGTTGAAGAAGGCCAACAGCCAACACTCTACCGCCATATCATCAACCTCTCATTGACGGCGCACTCACTCAATCGCATTTCCTCCGTACACATTGCGAAGAACATCAGCTTAACAATTGCCAACACGCGTTGGGATCTGTTCCTACGCACCGTAACCTCGAATCCCACCTACGCGTCGACCGTCAAATACCTGAAGATGAGCGAAGGCATTATCGACGACAACTACGGCAAACGTATGGAGGCCATGCTCACAGCGCTGAGCGGATTGGAGGCCCTATACGTGCATCATAGCAAACGAAGCCACGCCAACGCCATCCAACAGCTTATCACCTCAAAGCCAATACCACTATGGGACACATTGCATGTACTGCGCTTCAACCACACCAACAGCTGGGGCGAACCGGCCATTGTGCAACTCGATTTCGAGCGCAAAGAAATAGACAAGAAAGGCGGATTAGGCTACACAGCTGGCACTGAGCTGCTCACTGGAGAGCTAGAGGATTTAAGCGTTCACAGGTTTCTGGATATACCAGTCATAAGTAAGGTCAAGGTTTCCACACGCGACTTTGAGAACGATGGCGATGACCAGGACGACGCGGATTGGGTGGATGAAGAGGACGAAGACGCGGACGATGATAGCGATGGCTGGAGTGAGCGCGATTATGAGGATAACAGCGAGGAAAGCGATTGGGATTCAGAGGATGAGAGTGACTACGAAGACGATTGGGAGGCGGAGTATGGGTTTGCTGTTCCAAAGGCTGAGCCGGCTAAGGATCTATCGGTTCCCAATGCTGCGGTCGTTGGTCCGGGGAGAAGTCTTTTGGACTTTTGAGGGTGCATGCGATGCGGAGATGCTTAATTGTTAGATGGAAGAGGCTAGGACTAGATTTCTTGTTGTGTATTATACCGTGTTACTTTACTGGTTTGTTAGATCTACTCATGTATTGAGTTCACCTATCTAACGCGGATAGATCATCTAATGGTGAAACTTGTGTCTGGAGCATCGCACCAGTGCGCTTGGATCGAGCAAGCGCCTATTGGCGGGAGCTACGTTTAACTCATTCGCACCCTTTGTAGAAGCAACGGTACTGGCTTCATCTCTTCTTCGTTGGCTACTTCCCTGGTGGTCAACATGAAAATGACCTTTTTCCCATCTCTGTGCGCGAAGTACTGAGCGCCGATGTACGTCAAACCCCCTGTGGCCTCCAACTCCACCACAATCTGCCGGTGGCTACGTAGATCAAAGGCGTCCATGACCGCTCTTTCGAACTCAGATTCAGTGTAACCACAGAAGCCCTTGACGGTTGCTTTGATGGATGCTACTTCATCTTCTAAGGCTTCCGGCATACCTTTGACCCAGAAGATGCTGGCAACACCTTCGTCGGGATGGAGGCGATGCTCATAAGCATCCTCAGATGAGGTAGCTTCGAGGAGGTCTAGTTGTCTGGACGAGGATGGTGCGGTCTTTGATGAACTGGCAGTGCCTTTGCCTTTGCCCTTGCCCCGTGCGCGCTGTCGTTTCTCGAAAGCGATGAAGTCCCACATGTATCGGTATGTTGCCAATTCCTCAAGCCTCTTTGCGTAGAAACAACCATTTCTGTCCTTCGTGTTTTGGTCGACAAGGCAATACAAAAGCCATGCATGCCAGTCGATATCGGTAGTGTACTGTCGGTTGATGCGGGCGGAGAACGTCCTCGCGCCATGCTTCTCGCCGTTGATCATCCGAGTGTAGACGTGAACGAACTTTGTATCCTTTTTGCCGGATTTGGAGAGAAACGAATCCAGGAAGTGTTTGCTGAATCTTTCCCAGTGCGGCTTCACTAGATCGCTCGCGCGCCAGTCTCTGATCGCTTGCTGCCGACCGAAGCCCAGTTGTTCGATGATCAGTGCCTTTCTCTCGTAAGGTCGCATTTTGCGCCTCTTGGTGGTCTTGGGGGCCATATCGGCACGGGTGTGTAGGGTGTTGCGAGTATGAGAAACAATTGGAATGGCAATTGTGATGATGTTAATCAGAAGCGAGAAGGACGTACGTGACTGCCTAGGGTAAAGGTGCAAATGGAGCATTCGCACAATGAAGCGTGACAAATCGGCAGTCAATGAGACATACAGTAGAGATATACCGTATCTGCTAACGGAATGTATGTCACGTCACGTCGAATTCCGAGACGCAGTTGTCTTTAAACGAGGCGGCTAGAAAGAAATAACAGCAATGTAGGCTTCTAGGTGATTTGCTTCTAATACATTGTCATTGCCTCTTGCCGCATACAGCAGTGTATAATACTATACCAGAAATATCCAAACGCGATGTAGACTTCTGGGTGATCTGTTTCTACGATGACCTTATCGCTTCTTGCGGCCTACGATAGTACAAAATAAGATAACAGGTAAGAACTAAGAGCAACGTAGACTTCCGGGTGGTGTGATTCCACAATTGTCTTGTTGCTTCTTGCGGCCTACATCAGTACATGACATGATTTCCAACGAAGACTAACGGCAATGTAGGCCTCTGAACGATCTGCTGCAAAGCAGAGAATATGATCTTGAGGGTATATAGCAATCGTGCATTCTTAACCCAAAGTACAGACATAGTGCGAGCTCTGTCGCTAGCTGGCGACGAATGTGAAAGCTGGCGTAGCAGGCTCATTCGAGTAATGGGAACGTAGTGTCCGGGCGGATGCGGTTCCGGTCGTAGCTCTTGCCGAAGGAGCTATCATTACTGTCCTGCAGTATCTTCCACGCCGCAATCGGCTTATCAGCTTTCTCATCTTGGCCGAAGCCCGGCTCAAGCTTGAGAACGAGCTTAGGATCATACCGAATCCACCAAACTCCGTGGTGATCATCAGCGAAGTTGGTGCTTATCCCATTGGGCGGGTACTTCAGGTAAACAAGCAGATCGAACTCCAGGGTAGTAGCTTTCAGCCACGGATCCCTCTAGCATCGCAGAACCATCCATCAGCACCGACGGAAAGTAGAGTCGGCCTGATGCCGGCTTGGTTCGCAGTTTCAATGTCATTCACGATTGCTTGCACCCCAATTAGAGAGGAAACTGAACATCTCGGAGCCTACATTGACGTTAGGTCAACTAAATTGCTTGCTTTTATCGTAATGTAGACTGCAGGCCTGCTCATGGCCGAGCCCGAGGTGTTTGATGATCTCGATCTTGTATTAGTATGACCGACCTTTGTGCTTTCAAGGAAGCATCTTGATACAAGCGGGGATGGTGGCGCGATCGCCGGAGCGTCTAGGGTACTGAGAAGAATCGAGACGGCAGTTACGCTGTCGGAAAGATGTCGAAGAGTATTCCCTGCTCGATGTGCGATATTTTGCTGTGGCCGAGTGGTCAAAGGCGCTGCGTTTGGGTTGTCCTGAACATCCTTCGCAGTCTTCGAGGAACAACGACCCGGTGTGCGGGAGCCCGTACCGATCAAATCCCAAAACTCATCTACAGAGACAAGACATCGATTGGCACACAGATCCTGCACCAATGCATCTGAAACCGATTCCGTGCGACAGTGACGGTGACGGTGACAAGTCACCGTCAATCACACCTCTCAGGACCAGTACTTACGACCTTGCCCCTGGATACCTCGCCTGTGTAAAGGGCCAGCGCATCACGCCATGGACAGAAAAGGTCGAACACTTCCTAGCGAGCCCAACTTCGCAACCCTACAACACTACAACAACAACGTTTTAAAAGAAGTAAAACCTTGCAGGAATAACTCTCCTCTATCTAAATTATTAGAAGAAGAGTTTAAAAGAATTCTATACCTTCTTGTTGTTGTGTGCAGCAGGTGTAGAAGCTTCAGGGATAACAACCCGTTTGATTTTTTCTGTCCATAGCGTGGCATCACAACGCCCCGCCTCTTACATCTCGTAATCCACGTGTACCCATGCTCGCGATGTCAGGGCATTAGGCGAATTCGCAGCGTAAGGGGAAAAAGAACTCGAAAGTCCGTTGTCGTATATGACGATGAGGCTTCTCTGGACGCTGCACCACAAAGCAGGTTATTGGGCAGGCGCGACCAGCGGATAGGAAGGCGCGACTCAACCCCGCTGCCGCCTTCTCGCTAACCCAACGCCCTATCGATTGCGCCAGACAGACCGTGAGAAAGCCTCCCGCAGCATGTATGCACGCCACACGGCTCGACGTTTCTAATTTAGGTGTCTGGGTTCCTTACCTAGGCAGTAACGGCGTAGCGCGCGGCGATGGGTGTGTTGTTGGAAAATGGCGACAGTTGGTAACTCACCCGCTCACCGGTCGAAGACTTTACGCCTTGCATACAGCATGTATGTTCAGCAAGGACAACGCGTTCTAGAATGTGGAAGCCGAGGTATTGGAAATATCTACATCGCGCTAGTCTGTAATCAATGGGAATATGTGACTTGGCTAGACATGTGAAATCGGCCGGGTAGAGACCACTTTTCGAATCCATTCAGTCGCTCTATCACGATATTCGTATCCAGGTAATTACTTCCCCAAGCTGCAACATTCCCCAATCTCCGCATCCCGCTCGACCCCCTCTCTCATTTTCCCATCTCCCCCATCAAAGAGATGAGATGAGAACCGGGCCGAAAGCGAAGAACGCACGTTCGCTAAAAAAGAAGATGGAGTAGAAAAATGGGAAATGTACCAAGACCTACTAGAGCAAAGACGCCACTCAACAAGGCAGTTACGCGAGAAAAGAAGGAAGGAGGAAAACAGGGACACGGGTCGGGGCACGGCAGACGGTAGGTAGGAGCCGATTTTGCCGGTCCAGGAACCTGGTTGCGTTCTTCTGTCGACAAATTGCGAGATCGTATCTCAATGTCCTGATTCAACATGAACAGCTGGAGAGCGAAACCTGTAAAATCCATTAGCCATATTACTCCCGAACCACGCGTCTTTCTCGTAATGTGAGACGTAACGCTCTCCTATCCCAGTTCACCCTCTCCAGTCAACCCCATCAAATCACATTAAGCGAAAACAAGTAAACATGCGTTCACACAAACTGGCCTATGTTCACCGCACCGTAGAGCAGGTATTCAACAACCACCCAGGGCTAATCAGCTGCCTAAGTTCCCGCGGCTTCACAACCCGCGTATCCAGTAGCTTCATGTACATGCTGCGCAAGTTGCCACTACCGAGACATCCTTCCAGCCCTATGCATACACGTACATGCATACATTCATTCGTGTAAGTAAGACTTGGTTTTCTTCTTCTCTGCCTGCTGCAGAGTCTGTTTTGCCCCGTTTGATTCAGTCCAATCACCAGCATGTGACGTCGGGCGTGGCTTACTTGCCTAGTTTCTTGATGTCAGCGCACATTGTTCAGCTGAGTGGCGCTTTGCTGACGACGGACGGCAACTGAGGACTTGGCTTCTTACTGTGCCTCGCCAATTCAAGCCACGGGCGTTCAGGGGGTGAGAACTCTAATCCTTCGTCGCCTTGGGCCATTATAGCCGTAGTGTGTTGTAAGTAGAGTGGTGAAGCGAGTCACTCAGATCTGCGCAGACCGTGTCAAATTTGAGAAGGAATGGATTAGAGAAGAAGTTCGTGATTCTACTATATGCTATGCGATGAGCCCGTAATCCCTGGTACTCATGCTACGTGTCGATCGTTAGGTGTGCCCATTTTGTGTCTATAACGCCCCGATTATGATGATGGTTTACTACAACGCCGCTCGCGTTCCTGGTATGCCAAGCAACCTGTTGCGGCGGAGAGAGTGAATTAAGAAAAACAACAGTAGGTGGGCCTATCCATGCTCCAAAACCGTACATGCAAAGTACCCAGTGCCAGAATACTGCCCAGAAGAAGCCCCAGATGTTGCCAGATGATACAAAATTAAACGCTGTAAAAACATCAATGCAGTTGGTGCCGGCACGTTGTTGTGGAGGCGAGGTGGAAGCCGTAGCGAAATTATCATTATCGTAATGAAAAATTAGACTTGTTCGGTAAAGGCTGATTTCCGCGAATCACCGGATGTCCTCCTCTTCTTCTGGAGCTTCTTTGATGTTCTCCGCTCGGCGAGCTCAACCTCCTCAGGGGTGGGTGGCTGGAAGGTGCCCGGCTTCAGGACCTGAAAGCCAGAGTTGACGGAGCGCAGGACGTGGTCATCGCGATCCTGGTTCTGCTCGGTGTTGACTTCGTACGGCACCTGATCGTAGCTGTATTGGTGGTGAGGGCCACGGGGTTCGTAGGTGTCGGGGTAGTAGGGAGCGTTGGGCGCGTAAGACTCGGTCAGGGGAACCGCTTGCCTTGCCTGGTTCGCTGCGTTGCCATCGTGACTCGGTCCGGCAGATACGTCTTCAGCTTGGTCGGCGACAGTAGCTAGCGGAGGAGAAGGTGACTTCTGAGGCATGAAATAGTTAACACCATTGACCGAGGACACTTGGTTGTCCGCCACGCTGGCCCACTCTCCGCTATTACCTGGCTTGCGCACTCGAGGAGTGAGCTGTCCAGTCTCGGCGACGTGGGAAAGACGATGGCTGCGGAGGAGCTCGAGGTCGGTCTTAGGGTCAATGGGTTGGTTGGGCCTGAAGTATGCGGACTCGTAGGTGCGGACGTCCTGGCCAGCTGCCATGTAGTCGGACTCGTCACTGGTGCGGCGGCTGGAATTGCTTGCGGACTGTCCATGTTGACCGAGGGGAGCTAAGACTGTTAGCATAGTTCAATCTATTGCGCATGCTGATACTCACGAGAAGTAGCGCCAGAGTTGCGGGTAGCGTAGGGGGATTCCAGGGCGTTGAGGGCGCTGTTGCGAGAGACGTGGTGGTTGCAGTTGCTGCAGCGGGGGCCCTCATGGTTGTGGGGACGAGCAGGAGAAGATGATCGGGAGTCCTGGGTTGAGACGGGCTCAGCGGAGACGGCGCGGTCGAAAGAGCTGGGACCGCGCGAGCTGTTGCGGCTGGAACCTTGGGCGACTGGCCGGGGCAGCGAGAGCTGCGACTGCGAGGCGTATGGAG